TTCTATAACTAAAACAATTATATATATATATATATATATGTGTGTGTGTGTGTAATTTGGGAAAATTAAATCAATTATTTATGTTGATTTTAAGCTGATACACACAAAAATAGAAATTTACCGTTGTATCCCTTAAACGTACAGGTTAAGCAGCTTTATTGAGAATAGATAATTTATATGTATATGAACATGTCTAGGTGACGAAAATATCCGCCATTGATGCTGATTTGGGAGAAAATGGTCTTGTGTTCTATCAACTCGGTGAAGGTCACAAGAATCGATTTTATATCGATAGCAAAGGTGAGTCAGTTTGGAACAAGGTTGGATACGATTGTAATCTATAACTTACTTAGGCATTTTGTAATCTATAACTTACTTAGACATTTTGTAATCTATAACTTACTTAGGCATTTTGTAATCTATAACTTACTTAGGCATTTTGTAATCTATAACTTACTTAGGCATTTTGTAATCTATAACTTACTTAGGCATTTTGTAATCTATAACTTACTTAGGCATATATTTTCCCGTCAAACTTTCATAATATTTATCCATATAAGTTATGTCACTTCTACTGACCATTAATGTTCACTACTAAGAAGTTAATAAATTATCGTTTATTCATGTTGCATTTTCTATAATAGTAAATTAGATAGTTCAAAAGTGTATTATTCCTCATACTTACATATCTAGTAATCGACAGGGTTTAATCTAATATCAAATGATACGAACATGAAGCAACGAATGAGCAATTCTAATCACATTATTAGCTTTCTTTGCATGTTTTTACCGATGATTCCGTTTTCTAATTTTCTGGTATCACCTCTCCTATTTACTTGTTGTTTTCAGAAGCATTCATATTAAAGATATTGTTCCCCAATTGTTCCTTTAAGTTTAAAAAAGTACAAGACAAATCACAAGTCACAATTAAAATGGTAATACCCCAAAGTTATTCAGTGAACCTAAGAAAATCATGGCCGATGAAAGGCTTGTTACAACTTTTGAGTCATCATCGACTGAAGCTGGTAAAGTCAGTTTCAATTAGCATTTCTTATATATTTTTTTGTCACAGAAAGACACAAAAATGCTAATATTTCCGAAAATGTATTAATAAAACTTGAAGAAATGGTACTGCCTTTGAAAAATTTACGAGGTCAAAGCTATGACTATGGAGCCAACATAAAAAAACGGAGAAAAAATTATAGACTTAAATTCAAGTTCTTGTTGTTTGTGTGTATGTCAAACGATACATATTTTCTCTATCATGAACAATACAACAAACTTTTGCACCGTTTATCTGTTTATTACATGATATTATACCATAATTATCATAAGAAAACAGGTTACCCAGACTATTGAGAGTATCATGTATAGTCCTAAGACATATATAGAAAGATACATAAGCTGTTGTAACGAAACCAAATCCGTAGATACCTAGAAAAGATACATAAGTTGTTGTAACGAAACCCAGTCAGTATATACGTACAGAAAGATACATAAGTTGTTGTAACGAAACCCAGTCAGTATATATGTACAAAAAGATACGTAAGTTGTTGTAACGAAATCCAGTCAGTATATACGTACAGAAAGATACGTAGGTTGTTGTAACAAAACCCAGTCAGTATATACGTACAGAAAGATACATAAGTTGTTGTAACGAAACCCAGTCAGTATATATGTACAAAAAGATACGTAATTTGTTGTAACGAAACCCAGTCAGTATATACGTACAGAAAGATACATAAGTTGTTGTAACAAAAGCCAGTCAGTATATACGTACAGAAAGATACATTTGTTGTAACAAAACCCAGTCAGTATATACGTACAGAAAGATACATAAGTTGTTGTAACAAAACTCGTGAATAGTAATTAGTTCAAGTTGACAATCAACTTTGTGTGAGAAAAGTACAACTGTTAATCAGAAACGAACAAGGAAATAACATTTAAATGAAACAATGTTGACCGCGATGCAGCACATTTATAATCAGGATATTATTGAAAAACCATTCGTGTTGTGATACTATAAACAATGATTATATTATCATTTATAAGAGTACGATTTTCTGCCAGCAGGTTATGATATTTAAGATTTTCTTTCATTCTTCACGCCCTCTAATGCTACATTTTCAGTTTTCAAGGTTTTTCATAACCATTTTGTTTTCTTGTTAAGGTAAATATCTTAGTTTCTAAGTAAGTGTTAGTTATTAACAATTACAATTTGGAATTACACTTATAATTAAAAATCTCTTTTATTAATATTACACATATCTTTGCACGGAGATGAACTTCAAACTATTAAGCAGTAAATAATTGTACATCCGTTTGGTAATTATCTGCTTTTTATTATCGAGTTTTTGCGGATAACGGATCTTTTTAAAATGAAGCTGGTAAAATATATGAAATTTAATAGGACTTCAATCTCAATATAATGGAGCCCGGCATGGCCAGGTGGATAAGGCGCTCGACTCACAATCTGAGGGTCGCGGGTTCGAATCCGCATCCCACCAAACATGCTCGCCTTTTCAGCCTTGGGGGCGTTATAATGTGACAGTCAATCCCACTATTCGTTGGTAAAAGAGTAGCCCAAGAGTTGGCGGTGGGTGGTGATAACTAGCTGCCTTCCCTCTAGTCTTACACTGCTAAATTAGGGACGGCTAGCGCAGATAGCCCTCGTGTAGCTTTGCGCGAAATTCCAAAACAAACAAACAATTTCAATATAATGATATGCATCTACGCAAACTAAAATATATTTACTTATGGCGTGCAGGCTTATTTATAGCATTTTGATAATGTTATAAAACACAAGGACTTATCGAAGATATTAAATTCAACATTGAAACATCAAGCGATGTCGTGGGCATACCAACATAAAACTAAGTAACAGTATACAAGTAAGTAAAAAGTATACACAACTTTTCTTTGTTCGAGTTATGGCTTCATGCATCATTGTACAAAAAACTATAAAATGTGAAGCAGGGCGTTGCCTGTAGCTTTCATGCACGATGTTTACAACATTTTTGTCAGGATAAAGATTAACAGTATGGATATTAATTCCGCATTTAGAAAATTCATAAAACTTGCCTGTTACTCAGATGAAGACACGTCACCAGTCGAAAGGTCTAAGGCTTTAAATCAGTTTTTCATGTGATTTGTCAAAGGTTATGATCAGTGTTGTTATTTACAAACATGAACATGAAATGGTAATAACCTTAAACTTAAAAAGTGGATATCTAAATTCACAAATGCCTAAACTAAAGAAATATAACATGAAACTTGGAACTTGCAGCTGTAACTAGGTACGATTAAACATTTAATAAGACGATCACCGCTGTTTTTTTTTTTTCAACAACATTGTGGCAAAGCAGTTATTTTGATAATTAATATTAACTTCCGACCCGAGCAAGCTACATACTTACCAAACTAAAAATCAATCTTGAACTGAGTATAGTTAATTAAATATAGTTTTCTTAAGGTTTCACCTAGAAAGATAAAAATGCGTTTCCTCACAAACAGATACCTCGCTGGTTACGATATATTCGGACGTTAACTTCGAGAAGTTAATTTCAGTGCAAAAAAAAGTATATTTAATAGATCTCTGTATATTTACAGGGTACGTAGACAATAATATATCCAAACTCAGTATGTTTATAAACTAAAAACTAGTGATATCGCGATTTTAATGAAATATGAGCAATACCATAAATTTGTGGCCATATGAACTAATAATAACTCATTTGAAAATAGTTATTATATGTCGATAACCATGAATACAACTTGGAAATTTATCTAGATATTTTAAGCTAATCCTTGCAACAAATCCTTACAGATGGCACTGTGTGGACTCTCTCTAAACTCGACTACGAACAACAGAGATTTTATAACATGACTGTCATTGCTTACGATCATGGAACGCCAACTCAAAGCGCTACGGTCAAGTTGTGGGTTACGGTCACAGATACTAACGACGTTGTTCCAGAATTTCAGAAATCTGTTTACACACTAGAGGTTGCCGAAAGTACCAAAGCTGGTGAGGTGGTGTTCAAACTGGACGCTGGCTCAGGAAATTTCCAATACAAGTTATTGAGTAAGTAATGATTGAATATTCTGTAGTTTTAATAGATATTTCCTATACGCTTGCGTATCATCTTACTATAGAAAACAAAAACATTTCAAAACTGCACATTATTGTTAAATAATAACAAATGCGTTATTTGTTTCTGTAATATATCTTGTGCTGTAATGCAAATAAATTTAAGCATTTAAAAATATCATAATAAATATAGTTATTTAGGGAAATTATATTTCGCTAATATTTAGTTTATATGCTAGCTTAATATTTTATAATCATATAAGTTTAGAATTTGACTGCCTCAATTGATTATAAATCTATTTATGTCATACAGTTTTTGATATCTATTTCTGAAAGCTAATTATTGTGCACGTATTGATTGTACCCACAACTCATTTTTAATAACTTTAGAATAATTAAATCTGAAAAAAATAAAAGCTCTTGAAGTGTCAGTTATGTACATTGTTACTTACGATAAAATTTCGAATAATGATAACAAAACATTGTTTTTATCTAGATGACCAAGACGTAGACACTTTCAGCATTGATGAGGAAACTGGAGAGGTTTTTGTATCTAAACCACTTGACAGCATTCACCGAAGTCATTACCGACTACTTGTCTCAGCAAAGGATAACAGTGACCCTCCAAAAGTTGATAAAACTGAGGTGAGACGAAGACCATAGTTAGCTATAGACCTTAGTGTAGTTTTATGGGAACTCATCACGTCAATCATACATGTAATAGAAATGCGTATCTCATCATAGTAGTCGATACGATACGTATCTTGGTATTGATGCTGCGATATCATACGTTTCTAGATATAGAAGTGTTACCAACAGTTTGTTACAAAGTTTGACAATCTTGTCTGTAATTTATTATCTATATTACTAACATTGCCTTATTTAAGTACTTCACACTTTACAGTGCTTTTTAAATTCTCAGGTTTGTCCAACTAAATGGTAGTTGGCAAGAAAAGTAAAAAGTATAGTTAATATTTTTCTATTTATTTTGTTATTGTTAATTTGTAACGTAACTTTGCATGTAATGTTTTTGATGAAATAAATTAAAACAACATTTAGTACTTTATACTCATCTTCGTTTATTGAATCATTAATTTTTATCATAAACACTTTAGAAATTCTGATTTTTTTTCTGTACTGAAGACTTATAATGTTTACTGAAAGCTTGCCCAATTTCTTGTGGATACATAAATCGTATCGTATTGGACGATGTATCGATACAATCGTATCACGACTTCAGATACGATACTCGTATCGCCACACCTTTAAAAATATAATGTGTATTTTAAATCGGAAGGGTATGTCAAAATGGCAATTTAGTATAACGTCACCAGTGTTCCAGTTGCTTTATGCAGTTTAATCTTCTACCATTACTTATATTGCATAGGGAGTTTTAGATTATAAGAACATAAAAAAGAAGTAAAATGCTCCTGGCCTAGTTAAGTTTTTGTTTGTTTCGTTAGAAGGGCAATGTTCTTTGTTGTTGTTTTTACAAAAACTGCACCATGTATCCTTTTTAATAATTTACCATCAGTACTGACCCATTTTTCAGACTATAATATTTCGATATATAAGACAAATTAAACTGAAAGCTTCTTGTTGGAATGTACAATAAATATAAGAACCAATTTTAGTGATACATCTGTTATTTTGTGGCTTCTATTTTACAAGCATTATTATATAGCTATCAATACCCCAGTACAGTTAAACATTTCGGAAAGCTAGATAGTTTAAAGCAAAACGAACTGAAAATTAATTTTTGGAAGATATAAAAACAACAAACAAGCTGAAAATTTCGTCATCTGTTATCAACGTTTCAGGCCTAAGCATCTTGTTAGGGTTACAGGTTTACTTATGCCTAAACGCCAAAAATGTAAAAAACAACGTCCAATTTGTCACCTGTTTCAAAATGTGTTTTATTTATCTTTAATTACGTTTGCCTTCAGTATCAATACACTGATGATAATATTTTTTGTTTTCGGTTTCAGCTAAATATTATTGTTGGTGCAGGAACTGGCGTTCGCTTATTTCCATCTCGACTTTATGAAGTCACCGTTCAAGAGAACAAAGTGGCGCCTCTACCGGTGCTTGATCTCAACACTACAGATGAAATTGCGCAAAAGCCAGTGCAATATAGTATTGTTGAACAGGATATTAATGGTAAAAAGCTAAAAACATAATAATTCTAGGGTAAACGATGTTATCATTACCCCTTGAAGTTAGTTTTTTTACAAATATATGGTTGCCCTTTAGAAAGCTTAAGTACAGAGTGAAATAGGAATTACCAGCCAATAATAGATGAACATTAGTTGACTGTAATATGTAGATACTATTGTTTTGTATATTATATATTCAATATCTTTATGGACTCAATCACTATATTATGTATGAAGTGAAGAAGTAAAGACAAAATCATTACACATGATATTAAATTTTATTACACACATTCGTAAACTAATTACTTTAAAAGACACACGGATTTATTTAAAGTGATGTTTTAGACGTATAGGTTTTATTTGAAAAGGCTGCTTTCCTACTTGTAGAATTGTATACGCGTTTAGTGGGGGTTGTGTCAATCTAGGCATATATTTCCCCATTCTTACGCATTATATATAGAGAGAATTTAGTTACACAGATACTATAAATGTTCATTATATTCGCAAACAGATCTCTATGACAATCTCCAACTGCAGCTTAACATTTTACATCTCAAACTAATGCGATCAAGTAGTTATTTGCTACAGTAAATCATCATGAACCGTATCAGCTAGCTACATGCTATATTTATTATCATTACAATGTATAAAATTAGCTACCATATCAAATAATCCTTTGGTCATAGTTGAACATAAAAAAGCCAGCAAACAAGATAAAAAAATGTGGAATTTAAAAACTTACAAATAGGGATCGTAAAAAAGTAAGTAGACAATACTGGAGATACTGCAGAAATTATTTACTCAAATTACAAGTCTCTATTTTGACTCCACCAAATGTAGTTCTAGGTAACAGCATGGGGCCAAAATATGGATTTGTAATTTGAGTAAATAATCTCTACAGTATCTCCAGTCTTGTTTTCTTACCTTTTTTTTTTACGATTCCTATTTGCCGGTTTTTAAAATCCCAATTATTTATTTATCTTGTACCTATATATATTCATGCAGGCTTTATACTTTTTTTAAAAATGTAAAGGCGTATATATAGATAGCCGTATGAAGTTTTCAAGTTGTATAGATGCAAGCATATATATATTCAATGAATATTATTCAGAACAGATCTTACTAACGGTGTATACAAATTGATATTGAAGGAAAGCATAATGAATATCGTTCCCTTCAGTTTTTGAAACATCCTGTACCGTATCCAAACTTTTCTGAACGAAACTGATGCTTCTGAATGTGAATCAGGTGAAATTTGATTCCACAAAATTATTAAAATTTGTTAATTTAAAAAGGGAGGAATAGGGATCCTCAAAAAATTAAACAAACACGATAGGTAGCTTAAAGTGAAAATGCAATTGCGAAAAAGTAAACAAACAAGCTTAAGGTTTGAAACATAGTGTTGACATTATATTTCCTTAAGCTACAAATCCTTATTTGAATCCATGTCTAAAAGCTGTAATATTTAGGAGAGTTTTTTCACAACTGCATTTTCACTTTAAACTTCCTATCTTGTTTCTGTAATTTCTTGAAGATCCCTATTCCCACTTTTTAAATTAACAAATTTTAATAATCTTGTTTCTCTAGTTTTTTATGTCTATCATAGTCATGAATATGTATAATAGCAATACTGTCCTATTTGAAACTGTTTAGTTTAATGAAATACATAACTGGTGTACGATACTCTTTCGGGAAACAATGAGAACCTTTGAATTGGTTTCATGCAGATTGGATGGCTATTGCTCTTGATATCATTGCCATATGTTATGTATATGCTTGTAAAAAAATATATAGCTACTATATTTATACCCTGTAGCTATATGGGGAGTCAGTAAACATTGGATAGGAGGGACTATTGAACTGTACTGGAATGATGCATGGACTGTATTTTGTAACCATATGAGTTTTATACATGCAGTGCATGTTGCCTAATATTTATATCTATATATATGTACGTGCAGACATTATTGTTTTTTTTTAAGTTGTGAAGCAGTTTAAATATACATATATATAGTCATATGATTTTTTTTTCAATTTGTATAGATGCATGCATATATATTCAACTCAAATATAAAACAATATCTCATAATATAATAGCATATGTTTATAAATAAGCATTTATAATATTTCTTATAGTTGTTATATTCCCCCTCCTCCTCTCCGCTGACCATAGTAAGGCCGGTCACGGTTTTGATGGAGCTGGGAAGATTTCCTCTCTGCACAGTCTACGAGGTCGAAAACATGTTAATTAACAGTTATGAATTGATTATATTAATATACCTCCCACCCCTCCATTTGTGATGGAGTTTGAGTCGTGACACTTCTTGGACTCTATTTTTTTTTTTTTTCCACTGTGAAGACCCTAAATTCTGGTGGGCCGTCACTGCTGCATACTTTATCTGAAACTGAATGTTTTCTAAATAAAATATATAGCTAGAAAAATTCTACTTCACTTTCGCTTAGAATCACCATCTCCTGCTAGCACGATTCTTGTCACTCCTTAAAGTCAGCTTCAAGGATGGCTAATCTATCTGCAGTATCTATAAAATTCACAATCACGCAGTGTTGGCTGTAATTCGACTCTTACCATCAGCCATCGCCGTAATTGCCGATCCAATGCTCGAAACTGAGCTTGATGCTATCTTTTAAAATACGGCTTAAAGATTTCTGTTGTGGGAGACAGTCTAGACGTCTGTATAACTTTTAGACGTTTGTGTAAGGTGGCCGAAATCGATCATGCAGTGATGAAAAAAAACAAAAAAAACACGTGATCCTGTCAGCAGCGTCGTGTCCGAAAGGGCAGGAATCCTGTATATAAACAAATGATACTCGACATAAATACAGTTACAATAATAAGTTAATAGTCGCTATGGTACATGCCTACCATATAAACATTAAATTACAACCATGTTTTGCACTCAGCTATACACGTATGCATGTAGTAGATTATGAGGCTCCATATAAACCACATATTAAAACGATTGGGTGTCAACGGCTATACAGCCACTGTTATTTGCTAGGTAGTCAAAAATAGTTAAAACTACCCTACACAATGCGCAATGACGCGTTTAATAATCCTACTCAAGTTTTATTACAATTCACACAGCCATTTTTGCTATAGGCTAGCAGAACAATATTAAATAATAATAATAAAGACGAAAAAAATGGGCGATCTCTATCATTAACCACTACCGTGTTTCATGATAACAAATATCCTTGACGGCTTAAAAAAATCTACGGAATTACACAGTTATTTTTCTCTGTTTGTGCTTAATATTATAAATATGCTATAGCGGAAAAAATTACCTATAGCGAATTGTACACAAAATTTGTTTTTATAGCATATATAATCCTGTATAAAGAATAAAAGTCTGAAGAAAACTTTTATAAAACACTGTTGTATCTAGAATTCGACAATGTTGAATAATGACAGGACACTAATATTCTATTTGTTTTTAACATATTGTTCCATAATTATAATTGAAATAATCTTTAAATCATAGAAAGCTAGGATATCTATAGTTTAATATCTTTGTAAAAACTGGGCATATTTGGACCTTCTCAGCGTGGTTAATAATATTATGTTGACACTCGTTTTTACTTTACCCATTAAATATAAATTATCTTGTAGTTTGAATCAATTTATCACTTGCCAGTCCAGCACCTTTTAATACTGAACCTAGGATGGTCAACAGGTAAGTCATTCTGGAAACCAGTGATTTAGGGTTATTTCCATAGTTCTCGATGAATGAAGCACAGCACAACTTCTAAAATGAAAATAAAACTAAATATTAATGAAAATATGAAATGATGAAATCAGTATAGATAATACTATGGTAGAATCGTACTAGGTATTGTACCATCCTTCGTACATTTACTTTTCTTTGCAGAAATTGCATTTTTAATTTGAGAATCGCTAGGGAAATCATCTTGTAATGTATTGTGCATCTGCTTCAACTTCAACACTGCATCTTTGGGCTTTACCGGGGCCGTTAGTTTCATAAAATATTGAAACTAATGATTTCGTATATATAATTCCAATCTCATTGAAGTCAACAATATTATTGTGCGTTTTTTTTTTTGTTGTTGTTGTTGTTGTATGTTTTTTGTTGTTTTTTAATATTTTCTTTATGTTTTGCTGTCGATTCAGTAATCAACTGACGAATCTCCGATTCAGCCGGTATACCAAATCGATTGGGATATCTTCGAATAAGCTCTTCCCTCATCCGACCTGGACTCACGGTTTAGCTTAATCGCTACACTTAAACCATCAAATTCACAACCACATCTATAACATTTCAAACATGTTTCATTGCTACATCGTTTTATTTTACACATACAAGTTAATTTATCCATGTTGGCTCTCATTGTCTCGGGTCAGGTCACGGATCTGGTACAGCGACCTAGACCTCGAAAATAGTGCCAAACGTCTTCTTTATGTCTAATCAAAACAACCCAAACATTTCCGGAATGACTCTTTTGTTTTTGGATCCACGTCAAGATGCCGGGGTGGCTCGTGTGGCAAGTGTTTATAATGGACAAAACTTTCTGAGTAATCAAATGATATGATACTTATTTTAAATTTGCGTTTTTAGGTAGCAAAGTTTTTCACATACACATCTTTTGAAGTAAAATAATATTACTCCTCTAATGAAAATTAATTTTATTAACGAGCTGAATTTCATGAGGTGCAATAAAATTCTATTTTTTCGTCAAACCTTGGTAGTTGCTGATTGAATTATCGAATGTTCTAGGTCTTTTTACCATTGAAGCTCAAACTGGACTTTTGGTTCTAACTGCGACTTTGGACAGAGAGCAGAGATCTAAGTTCTTCCTGAAAATTCGAGCTGAAGATTTTGCTCTAAAACGATATGGAAGATCAGGTAGTGATGGATGAATAAAAATACGCTTAATTTGTAGTTAATTAGTTGCCTTCTTGTTGAAAGTATCGCTAAGTTATGTTTAACAAAATGTAAAATAATATAAAAGCATACATTTGCTCTAAAGCAGTTATTTAATTAACCAAGTATTGTGTGTCTTTTTACTTTTCACAAATCTAGTTTTCAGAGCGCATTTGAGTAAAACGTTTTAACGTTCGAAATTACATTTTTACAACAATATTTCTGTGATGATCTGAAGGTAATCTGTACTTCTGTCGTAATCATATATAATTAACAAGAATACTTAAACTATAGTTAAAGCATGAAAGTTGTGATAAAGTAATACTCGAAAATGTTTATTTTCTCCTACATTTTACCACAAAAATTGGAACAATATATTTTACAGAATAATACGAGGTAAAGAAGAAATATGAAAATTAGCAGGTCATTAAATAATGACCAAAACAATTGTCCACACCTCTAAATTGTGCAAATGTTCAAAAAATAATAAGAAGCATTTTAAACTAAATATTCAATTTCTCTATGTAAATCCTGTCTGAAATCTCAGTTGTGATTAACCAACATTAAATATTTTATCCTGTGGCAACAAATGAAATATTCTTAAAAGAATTAAGAGGTTTAAATTAACCTATTTTCATTCCAGCTTCCTTTAATTTCTTTAGAAAAAAGAACGATAAAATAAAGTATTTTTTAAACTTTAACTGTTGATATCTTGGTTTATTATGCGACAAAAAGGCAAACCTGACATCAGCAGTTAAGACCATGTGAGAAACCTGCTATAAAAATAACTGAAAAATACTAGTACGTTCTCAGTTTTTTCGCAACTATATATTGTGTGTGTGT